ATTAATACAAATTAATATGACTACATTTTATTTTGTATGTACACATTTATATGCACATAAAAAATTATATTTTGAAAAAAATATAGAAGAATTAGTTTAAAGTATAAAAGTTGAAAAAATACTTTATTTCAATAAAGTACACGAGTAGATTTATATTATGTTATATAGATAATTTCATAATACCAAATAGTAAATACATGCTTTGCGAATCAAAGCTAAAATAAATAAAAATTTTAGTGACTTGAATAATTATGCTTTCTTTTGCTACCTAAAAAAATTATGTAATTCAATATATTCAAAATGTACATAGGATATCTCAGATCTAACTGACAATGCTCATAACTTTTGATACAATTATTATTTAGTAGATATTTTTATTTTAAACAATATTTCCTTTTTAGACTACAGTATAGTTGATAGTATTTATCAATAATAAGGAAAAATAATGAACAAATTTTATTTTTTCAACATTTTAAAAACCTAATAATTGTATCAAAAATTATAAAGTTAGATCTAAGACAGGCAATATATACTTAAATTTATTCATTCAACCTTTTATATCTGAAAAATATGGTATGTTTTAAACCATTTTGTTATGAAAAATATATATTTTGTATTTTATATTTTTTCTACTCTTTTTTATACTTTTTGCATACCTTTTGACCTTTTTATGATTTTGGTTTAAAATTTTATGCAAAAACAAATAGGGATACATATGAAAAATAGTAAGCTGAAAAAGATTCAACACGTTATTTCTTGACATTTACTTCATAAATAAATATATAAAAATAAAATTTGTAAGAATATCCCTATGAAATATTTTAATACTTGCTGTCATATTCGTTTTAACATAAAGTTTACGTGAAAATAAAAGACAAATGTCACTTTCCAACTCTATTTTACTTAACTGATACCAACTGACTTTATCATCTAATGTAATCGTGTACACAATGAGCTTTAAATTTTAGGATCTCGATTGATATTTTTTATAAATAATTTTATATCATGTCAGGTAGAGGAATGCAACCGGAAATTAAAAAAAAATATTTCTCGTATTTCACTCCATACAAGTATTTTAAAGTTTTAAAACTTTCAAATACTGGTTCAAAAATTATTATTGATTAATAATTTTTCTTAACTAGATAATTTTTTAAATAGTCAGTAGTTAAGCATGTATGTTGTCATTATAAAAACTTAAGCAGTTAGAGTACACTGTGATAAAAGTACACCGAGGTATGAGTTCAATATTCAAATAATTAATTTAAATTTATAGTTATGATGCAATCGTTGATAAATTTTAGATCATTTTTATATAACTTATTTAATCGTCACAATAATATGGAGATAAAATTTTAAATATTTTACAAATTTGTCATACTTTTAATATATTATTAAATTTTAAGAATACTTATTTTAAGTTCATAAAATAATAATATAACATGAATTTTTTATTGGGTAAAGAATAATTTTATTAATTATATTGAGTATTGATATTATTTTCAAACACAATTTTTGTCATGTAATTCAATAAAAAAATTTAGAGTGATGAAAACATCCAACACAGCTCTAAAATAATGTATTTATACTTATGTTGAAAAAATAAGATTTATACATTATTTTATTAAAATTTAATAATTATCTATATAATTAGACGCTAACATTTTTTTTACTTAATATAGTTAAATATTAGGATGTTAAATTGTAAGATTACTAAATTAAATAAAAACTTTGTCTTTATTTTGTTATTTTAAGCAAAAAAACCTATTTAAAATTTATTCATTTATTTATTTATTTGTTCGTTAAAACTTACTTAATACTAACTGTACTCTTATCTTATCAATGAGATAAGAGTACGCTTTTATTTTGTTTCAGTCCATTATTCATTAAATAGAATTCTAATCTCACTATAAAGATTTAATTTACATTTTTTAATAGTTTGTCACGTTAAAAAAAAAATTTAATTGCTTAAACTAGCTTATACTACAAGTTTAAAAAAAAACAACAGTGTGCACTTTTACTCCAGATACTTTACTGATTAGAAACATAGACATACAAGACATATAAATTGAGGAATATATGTTTCTAAAAAATCATTATTATTAAACGAAAATTAATTAAAGAAATAAAATAGGTAATGTTTAAGAATCGCGCTCTAGATTTTATTTAAATTTCCTAAAATCAAATATTAAACGACGCGTACAGAATAAATTAATTTTGGTTAAAGGGTGAATTATAAAAATCAAACGTTTGAGATTATATTACACAGAATTGTATAATCCTGTAATATTAAAGACGTGATGTAAAATTGCAATGGAGGTAACTTTTTTTTTAATTAATGTTCAGTGAATACACATTTTTTAAGAAACGATCCATTTCAAAGAATACATGTTTCTTAATATCAATATCTGCACTGATAAAATTGTTTTAACAATAGATAAAAAAATTACATTAAAAAAAATTGTTTCACCTAACCATTAACAAAATAAATATATATATATATTATATATATATATTTAAATTAATGTTACATAAATTATTTATAAATATAAAATTGTAGTTGGATTATAAACCAGTAAAGAAGATTGTCTTCTTTGGCCAGTGGTACAGATAAAAATTATATTTTGGGAGTCTAGATAGTTTTTAAAACGTTTAGTAGTGGGAAGATTCACTTCTCCACTACTCCAGCTACTATGACATTATTTCGATGAAAGTCTAGACCCGAAAATCCCCTCCCTGGTCGCACCATTGTTTTTAATATCCCTCTGTTTATTTCTTTACTGACTAAAGTGAGTAAAAAAATCATCAGATTTTTGAGCGACTGTAGTTGTTCAAAAATCTCATGCGCTTATTATTTAATTTTGGTATTTAAAGTCACCGAAGACACTATAAATTAATGTATATATATATATGAATTTTCACATACATATAATGGAAGCTTTTACCGAATACGACATATAAGAAATTATTAATACTCCAGTGATAAAATTTATTATTTATATACGACGAATTTTGGCACTTTCATTTCAAAATTTACATAATTACTTTTAAAACATACGTTTATTTTAAAAATATCATAATGGTTTATGAGAATTTTGCATGATTTCTTAAAATGTATATACAGGGGGTGGACAAAATAATATGAACACCATGCAATATAGTTACATATTGTTGCAAGTTGGCTACACTGTATAATTTTTGGATAACATGGCGTAAAATTAGTATATTATTACAATATAGTAGTTATTTATAACATATTAGTGTAAAACACAGGTTATACTACGAACGTTAATATAAACTTAAAATAAAATGCGTGACCTCTCGGACTTCCAAAGAGGGCAAATAGTGGATGCTCGATTAGCGGGAGCGTCTGTAACGGAGACATCTAAACTGTTGAACGTGTCAAGAGGGACAGTGTCCACAGTAATGACAGCATACACGAAATACGGAAAAACATCATCGGCGAAAAGTAATAGTGGGCGAAATCCAAAGTTGACTGACAGGGACCGACGAACATTAAAACGGATTGTGACAAGACAACATAAAACTACCGCGGCTAATGTTACAGCAGAACTTAACGCACATTTGGGTAATACTGAATCTATTCCGCGAAGGATTGAAGCAGTTTTAAAGGCAAATGGAGGCCCAACATCTTATTAATATATAAATGTCAGGTGTTCATATTATTTTGTCCACCCCCTGTATATATTTTTGAAAGTTTTCATTAAATGACCCTGTTATTATTGTTACAGTTTGTGTCTATTTACGCCTTAAATATAGTACGTAATAAAATAATTCCAAATTCACATATTTCCCAGTTCCTAATTCATTAAACTTTATAATTGAAAATAAAACTAATTATTTACATAGCCATTTGCATGTAAAAGTCGTCGGGACAATTTTTTTTTATTTATTTATAATACGTATCATAACCTTTAATTTAACATATGTAACAATTGACTTTTGTAAAAAAGTAGGTATTTTGAATCCCCCGCTTTGGGTAGGTAACAAAATGTCAAAAAAACGATATCAAATGAAAAGAAAATACCTAAGGTTTCTATTGAAAAAAATACATTAATTTTTCAAAAAGTTATGGCAGTTATAAAAAAAAAAAAATGTATATACCTATTATAAAAATTGTAATTTTTTGAGGGATTTTCTCTATTTACAGGAAACGAGGGAAATTTTTTCAATTTGTAAGGGCAATGTCTTCATCATTGTGTTATTTTGACGCAAAGTTTAAAGAAATCGAATCGGTGAAAGCTGAAAAAAGTGGTGACAGACATAAAAAAAAAACATCATAGTAAAATTAATATCTTCTCAGCTTCGCATGGAAGCTAAAAAAGTAGATATTAAAACAGTTATAAAATTAAACATATTTGAAATATATTTTTAATTTTAAAAGATATTAGTTATAAATGCTTAATTCTCATTCTATGAAAACAGTTTTTCACATCACTAAAAATTAAGGTAAGATTTATTCATTGAAATCTGAAAAAGGCATATTTTATAAAAAAATTTCCGAATTTTCACATACATCTATTAGAAGTTTTTAACACATGTAAGTGAAAACATTGATAAATAGTAACAAAAATGCTATATCTGTATACTGAGTTGTGTCACTTTATTTTAAAATTACATAATATGTGTTTAATACGTATGTATTCAAAATGTCAGTATAATACAAGGAAGTTTACGAAAAAAAATACAAATTTAAGTGACACAAATTTTCTAATGGAAAAAATTACATGTTTGAATATGGTGTATTTTAATGTAAACAAAATACTTGAACATAAAATCATAAAAATAGAATAAGTAACTTTGAAATAATACATTTTTGGACTATTAAAACGCCATTATTTCAAAACTATATCTTTGAGTTACTATATGAACATTTTGATAGTATGATATGTGTTTAGTATTCTCTTAAAATGGTTCTATTTGAAGTTTAATTAATATTTATAAGTATAGTAACTAATTCATCTGTTTACTTAATGTTTTAGAAAGTATTCAAGGCAAATTTGAAAGAGCTTTATTGGATGATCTATTAATGGAATACAATCCAATGGAAAGGCCAGTCTCAAACGAGTCCGATCCACTAGAAGTTACATTTGGCATTACACTTCAACAGATAATAGATGTGGTAATTTTTTTTTTTTTATAAAAAATTATATAATTGTCGCTAGAAGAAATTTAACAATGGAGTAATTTCAACGGTATTTACATTTGCGCACCATGAAATAAGTGCTTTTAAAATTTCGTCACGTGATCAAATAGTTATGTATACTGAGCACGTATTCTGTTAGAAATAATGTACGAATGACAAATATCTAATGACTATAACAATATCTACCCTTAGAAAAAATAAGGAGTAAAAAAATAAACGAAGTTGGGTGACACTAATAACCAAAGTATTTAAAATCCCTACTGTTAGAAAAATAATATACGACTGTGAAAACGAGATAGAAAATACATTATTATAAATATTAAAAAAAATGTACAGGTTCTATTTCCTATTCATTCATTTTTGATAATACATGGTTAAATTTTTTATTTATGTTTGCGGGACCTAGATAACTCAGGTAGCATTGGTCATTAGATATTTTCTCATTCCTCCGACCTTATTATTGATAGACTCCCATAATAAAATGTTATAGAATTTGCATATTAAAAACAAGATTGTATTAAATATATTTGTGTCAATTTAACATCCGAATATAAATCACTGTAAATCCTTTTTTTCTAGACAGCATCTTTTTTGTAATAAAATATAAAAATGGAATAATAATCTGAATATAATTTTATACATACATAATTTATGCTTATTTATATTATACATACTTTGACAGCAATATTAAAATTTCTACTAATTAGTATGATTTTCACAAGTTCTAGGAAAAGAGTGTCTATACTTCAATTTAATGATAACATTTGTTTTAACAATTAGACATTTAAAAATACTTTAATTTAATTTAAGCGTAACAGAAGCTTAAGTTTCTTTCAAAATGAGATGCGATGATTGTACTAAAACCTATATTTTCCATTTAGATACTAAATTACAAAAGCTTAGGTAGTACTACTAATTATTCGAAAACAGTAGTGGCGGGAAGGAATTCGTTCCAAAAAGAACGGATTCCTGGAACGAGTTCTTTTAGTAGGAACTACTTTCATTAAAAATTAATGAGGAATTAATTTATTTTTATAAGAAACATAAAAAAAATTTAAAGTTCCTTTAAATGTATTTACTTTATTTTTAGATAAATAAAAATGTATTTTTACGTTGATAATTAACAATATTTTTACATTAGAATATTACAGCCCTAATTATATATCCTTATTATGCCTTCATTATGTTATCGAAATTTTATACTTTTAATATACTAATCTGATCATAATGTTGTTATCAATGATATTAATAAATTATAACACTAAAAACATAATATCTTGAAAACACAAGATTATAGGCGCACTCTGAGGGTTTAGAAGGGCTTGGTCTCCCAATTCTATCACTCTCCCTAAAAACAACTATGAATATTACATGATAATTTGTATAAAAAAAATAAAGGAGAAGTAAAATCAAGTTAAATTCTTCAAATAATATGTTCGAATTAAGCCTATACACAGAATATTATGTTATACCGTATATAGTTTTTAACTATTGTTCTTAATATAATAACAGCAGATTTTTAGATATTTTATTAACAAAAAAGGAACATTGAGATGAACGAATTCAATTTATAATAAAATTTTTCTAACTCTGCCAAGCATCATGTACGAATATTAAGTCATCTTTCTTGTAATCGATGTATTTAAAAATAAAAAAAAAGTACTTATAAATTTAGAAGTATAAAATTTTATTTTATAACTGTGGCATATTAATTTTTAAATTACAGAATTAATTTTCTATTCAATAAGTATTTTAATACAATAATTAATGATGGATAATATACCTGAACAAAACGATAAAAAAAAGTTATTAATATTTTATCATAAGTATTTAATGTATATTTTATATAGATTGTATCTTTTTCTACAATAAAAAAATATCAATAGATATCAATGCAAAATCTCGTTAGTCTTACGTTGAATCAAAAAACAATTTATTTTTACCAGTGGCGTAATTAAGGATCAAGTAGTAGCTATTACTTCCCAATCTCATCTCCAAGCTTCTTTTTTTTTTTTGCTAATGAATATTTTTTTGTACATGAGACGAATAAAAATAATTATTTGAAAAACTTTCTTTTTAAAAAATCACAAAATAACTAATTGTAGATAATTATTATCTACAATCCCTATTCCTAATTTTTAATCGTTAGTTTTTAAACTACTATGAACAGTACATGGTAGATTATAAATCCAGACAATTATATAATATTCTTAATAATTAATTGATAATTTTAATCACGTCAAAAAGAAAACTGATTTTAATACGACATGTTACAATGAATACAATAAATTTAATGTTGTTTTAAAATATTTTAACAAGTTTTTGTTTAATAATAAAAGTTTTAGTCTTTTAATCTTCTAAATTCTACGTGTACACATAATTATGTGTATTTTAGATTTCCCTTAGATAAGCCCAGTAAGGTAAAATGGATAAAATCTCTACAAAATATTTTGCTTTATTTGTGAGAAACATTTCAATAAATTTATTGACTACACTATCAAATATAACAATTGTTTTAAAATGAATAAATAAATGTTTAATATTCCTATTAATTTTAATATTTTTTTTTTTTGCATTAGAAACGTGTTTGTTTATAAAAGTTATATATTTAGTTTTAGTATTGTGATATGGACACGATTAAGTTGGTGGGAGAGTTAGAAAACGTTAACCATCTGTTAACATAAATGTAGTCGCAAATGACATTATTGGTGACATTTATAGTCCTAGCTTTAAAACATGACTAATATTAAAATATTATACACATTTCATTCTTATGTAGACGTTACAATTAGTCGTTTGTAATTATCGTTAGGGCGCCGATTTAATAACTGTGAGTTATAAGAAATAAAATGCTTTAATTGGCTTATTTTAAAAAGTCGTGCTTTTATCTTTACTCTTATCATTATTGTTTTTATTATTAATTTTGAGATCACCTACGGCTGCCGGCTCCGATGACCGAGCTTATTCAGATCTCTCATAGGATAGAAAAGGAATTCAACTTATTTAAACCCGTTAGTCTGAAATGTTTTGTGACCCAATGAATACAAACCACTACGTTCAAATGCTAAGAATATGGAGATAAAGCATGAAAATTTTTAAATGAACACATCAGAACAGCGAGTTTTAAGAGTGTCCACATTTGCAAATTACGCAACCGGGTTCAACTACGTATCTTCGCTATTTAATTTTGCATGATTAAATTTCAAACTAGGAATTCATAATATATCATGCACCAAATTCGCATAATTAATATTTTATTCCAATATAGGTAGCTTGTGACCAGTTTCAAAATTTAATATCAGTTATTTATAAAGAAAATTATTTGTTCAAGTGTCAAGAGAAAATGTCAAACGATTTCCAGGTAGCCATGTACCCCAACCATTTAATCGATAAACTTTATGAAATCATGATACTAATATTACAAATTTTAGCTATAACTATGTATTATCTTATGAGAATCTATATTATCTTATATAACAAATTTATTAATTAAGATTGTTATACAAAGTTTTTAATATTTACCTTAACATACATTTAATATCAAGTGACTTAAGATATACAATAGCATACTTAGGGATTTTTAATGGCTTAGCTCTTAATTATAATATGACAGATAAATTTTAATTTATCATTAGATAAACATTTTTTTCTATAAACAATAGAAGTTGAGCGGAGATATATATATAAAAAATATATTACCTAAGTCCTACAAAATATTAATATACAAAAGATATTTTATAGAAAAGTTTTCGCTTGTCATTAAAAGTTATTGATATGATGAATTTTTTAAATTAATTAAATATTTAATTTTTAAATTAAATTAAATTAAAGTAATTTTTTTTGCTTTTAGGACGAAAAAAATCAAATTGTTGTTACAAATGCTTGGCTGGATATGGTAAGTAATAATTTAATTAACATGATATTATCATATAACTAATAATCGAATTAAATACAACAAAATTCTTATGCTCTAACATAACTTTTATTCATATCAAATACAATTTAAAACTCAAACTCGTCCATTACCACAGCCGGTAGACAGACACTCTTCTTACTGATGGTTATCACATAGGCTATATATAACATTGATTAAATTATAAACAGAATAATAACAGTATAGTGACATAACAGTAATTATAAACAACATCAATTTTATGTATGTAAATATAATCTAACTACAAATCAGGTATTCAATTGATTTACTTTCATAGAAAATTATATTTTAGCTTCAATGCAAAGTAATTTTACCTATTTCATAATAGAACTAGCGAAGATGAAACTCGGCGAATTTCCGTCCGAATAGTTGAGTTCAAACTAAGTGAAATTTGAAATCATAAAAATTGTAAAATTACAAATATACCAATTATGAAATTTAACAGATTCCCATCGAAGCGTTTTTTATAATAGTTATGTTGACCAATATCAAATATCATCTATACTTGTCCCGACTATGTCATGATACCACTTTGCTAACTTTTTTAATACTGCTATATAAAACTTTTTTTTTTAAGTCGTTAAAAACTTTAATTTCTTTATTTTACGAAAGTTGGTTATAATTTTTTTTTTTTAAGCTAATTTAATATTTAAAAAATTGGACATAATTGCGATTTAAGGTAATGTTCTTGGTTTTTGTTTTTTATGCTCAGAAACATAAGTGTTCCTATGACTAATATTATAATTTTATTTATCAATTGAATAAATTAATTTATAAGAACAATTTAACCCTACAAAATTTGCTTTGTTAGTTCGTTGGTTGTTGATACTTTTAAGGGTAAAAATATGTAAGACAAGTAACATGCTTTAACATAGATTTTACTCACTCAACCTTACTTGGCACCAATCCATTCAATTACATGTGTATCAGACTTTGCTAAAGCATATGCTGTGTTCATGTTTAAATGCCGTAAATATGCACTTCGGTTATTTATCCATATGTTCAGAATTAGCATAAAAAGAAAGCAATTCTCCCTTTACCTGAATAATAATAATAATACTTAATTAATTAAATTGAATAATAATTTTACTTAGTAGTTTAAAAATACCGTATTTTATTTTTTAAAAGTATATTACATGTATTTATAAAAAAAAGTCTTAGATATACAACTGAATTGATCATTTGAGAAAAAACAGTAAGTAAAAAAGAATTATTTATAAAACATATAATTTTTAAATAATAAATATGATTTCAAATATTAATTCTCAATATTTTATTGATTGAAATAAAAATTAACAACCTCAACAAGTTTTAAATTTGAAATACAAAATGTTTAGCAAATCATTTATTATTTTTCATTATTTTTAAGAAATTAATTAGCATCATTTATATTAAGATTGATGTTACTATTATAAAATAATACATTGATTATAAAAAGCTAATTTTGAGCTTTTATAATGTATGGAATTATTTTTTTGATCATTTTAAAAACGTCAAGGTGATACTTTGAACGCAAAGCCCTCCAAATATAATATTTTAATTCTAGATTTCTTGAAATTTTATTCTAATGAGATAACAACTTTACAGCTGAAGCTGCTCAGTTGCATTAATTATTAATAATAATAAGAAGAAATAATTATAAGAAATCAAGTAATGGGTATAGCTAGGGAGACTACAAATGCTATATTAACTACGTTTATTTTTAAAATGAATTGATTGAAAAAAAGGTTCAAAATATGAGTTTGTTGAGATTTTTTCGATTATACACTTCACCGTTAAAACATTTAAGTTTCTACCTTAAAAGATGACAGATCCACTTTCGCTCATTTTCCAGGAAAGATGAAAAACTGTCTAGAATATGGTATATTTTCTACTATAATTTAATGCTCTATATTTGATATTTAGGTGATCTAAATTAAATCTATTTTGTAGTAAGTTAGTATTTATGATAACATTAAATGTTAAAAAAAACACAACACAGTTGTCGCAACATAGTTGGAATAAGTATGCAAAGGGTTCAAAAATTAAACGAAACAAGTTTCTATTCTCATTGTTAGTAACAATTGACCTGTTTTCTTACCTTACTGAACATTCTGTATATGATATCTGCCAGTGATAAACACCGCTATGCTTAGATGCAAATCTGTAAATAGTTTAAAACTTTAATAAATATAGTATAAAATTTATATTCAATATTTTTTTGTAATTTTTACAAATAAATCATTAAAAACATTTTGATGCGACTCTATTGTGAAATTTCACAATAATTTTAGCTTCGATGCAAAGCTGAGAAGGTATTAATTTTACTCTGATGTATTTTTTTTGTGTCTGTTACCACTTTTTCTCAGCTATCACCGAACCGATTTCTTACACGATACGTCAAAAAATCTCAAATCCTACCTAGTCGAAGACATTACTCACAAAAGTTGAAAAAATTTCCTCGTTCCTCGTAAATGGGGGAAATGTCCAAAAATTACAAATTTAAAAATCTTAATTTTTGACATTTTTTCAATTTTATTTACTTAAAACTGCCATAATTTTTTTTAAAAATGACCAAATCGATATTTTTTTTTTATGGATACATGAGGTATTTACCTCTCATGAATAAAATGAGAGGTAAATACCTCATTAATTTTTGAAAGTATTCTGGAAATACTGACACTTTTATATATTTTAAATTCAGATTAATGTATTATACTTTATTATGGAATAAAAATTTTTCACGGTGAAAATGGTTATCCTATGTTATTTTTATGTTAAAATTCTCGATTTTATATTTAAAATTTTTAACTTTATATTTCTATAACTTTATGCAAAATGTATGGATCATAACAATTTTTTTATGACAAGCACTATTTATATACTTCTTTTATGTGACATACATATTTTTTAAATCAGACCATTTCTTTTTTTACAGGGGGGGTTTAAAACTTAAAAATGCATAAAGAATGAATAAAGAATGAAAATTCTTATAGACCAGTGAATTTATTTATAAATAACAAACAATTTTTTTTTTTTAAGTATTGCATCAAGGCTTTCAACTTTTATATTCTTGATGACCGATTTCTTATAGCAAAAACCCTTGTGCGTGGGTGGTGATCTTTATCATACACGATTTTTTTTCTTTCAAATCCTTGCTGTTCTTAGGTTTTTCATTGGGTTGTAATAAAAAAAGACGTACCAAAAATAAACTCATTGTTTCTTTTATATTGTATTAACATTTTATTAGTATGAGTATTTTTAATAATAAGTTAACCAGTTTGAAAATGAAGAAAAAATATTTGGAAAATGTCATTTCTTACGGTAGCGTATTTTTGAGAAATGTTTTTAAATTTCTAAAATTGAGGGAATATTTCAAATTTATCGTTACTAATAGGTTCAACTAGATTAAAATTCGGTTTTCTTGACGTATAAATCATTTAAATCGATCCAGTGATGGTTAAGAATTTTCATTCGCATAGAAAAAAACCCACATTATGGTAATGCCTGTTCAGTTTTGCATGGAAGCTAAAAAAAAATTATTAAAATAGATTTATCGTCTTTTTTCAGTTAGTGATTAATTTAATTATACCAATTTGTTAAGTAAAAGGTAAAATTACAAAAATTAAAAAAGTTTACACATTAACTTTGTATATACATTTGAAATTTTTTTTAAATACAAGCAAGTATTTTATTGTTTTGTACAATATTGTAATATATAAATATTATACAGTATTATAATAAGTATCATTCAATTTACATCACTGCTTTTTCTATAAAACATCAACTTATAAGAATCAATCAATTCAACTAGATAAAATGTATTGAACATTTTATGTATAGAATAAAAATTTAATTTATGTCTATACATATTCAAAATAAAACTTAATATTAATAAATATAGAACTAATTAAATACTGAAGAATAAAACTCTATTCATTAATTTATCAATTAAAATAATAATTAAAAATAAACATTGATGAATTTAAAATAGATAAGATCATTGTCAGTTATAACAAAATTGTTAATGTGCTTATTATTATTCTTTTTATAGGAATGGGTGGACTATAATTTAAGGTGGAATATATCAGATTACGGGGGTGTCATGGACTTAAGGTTTAATCCAAATAGACTTTGGAAACCTGATATACTTATGTACAACAGGTAAGTAAATATAATTATATGATAATCTAATGAAATTAGCTTATATTTATTATACTTAAAAGATATAAAATATATCACACTAAACTAATATTAAAAGTATATTGTAGCTATTTTTCCAAAGCCGATTACTCAATTTAATTCACGTATTTTACAGGATATCAAAAAACAAATAAACGTTAATAATAATTAGTGTACATAAATATTTTTTAATTGATAAAAACACACTGCTTCGATCGAGACAGTTTGTCTTATTTTAATATACCTTTTCTATTTTTAATAATGCTAAAAAAATATCTACAAAATAAAAAGTGTAAGGTGCATTATATTAAAAAACATTATATTAAAAAAATAATTTGTGTTTCGATATAGTAGTAATAATTTTTTTACAATAAAAAAATAATGCATAATATAGATATTTGCATTTGAATATTTGGAAAAGGCAAAGAAGGCAAAAGGAAAAGAATTATTAAAAATTGAGCTTTCCGTTTACCTATAATTAAAAATTATAACAATTCAGAGTATAATAATACAATAATGGTTATCGAATTGTCAAAAGTTTATTTCCCTATCAATAGTAAAAAAAAATAATAAGTTCCCACTTGACTTTCAAAAGATACCTCTAAAATCTACCATTGTAAATAATATTTTCTTACAATATACATAATACTTACAATGGTTTACAAAAACAAATTAAATTTCAATCTATATATTTTTATAAAAAAAACATTATTTAACAAAATAATGGGGAGGTAGATTTTTAATTAATCACTCTGTATATATAATAATAAAAAGAACTTATTCTATATTTCTGCTCCTATAAGTATAATAAAAAATGTTATAATTGGCAAAATTATAAAAAAAAACTTTGTATAAAATATTCTTACTGAAAACATTTCTAGTTAAAATCAACTTTATGAGAGGATAGATTTTTCAAAAGGGTTAAATAATAAAAACTATCTAAATTCAAATCTTCAAATAAAATACTAATAATGTAAACTAAGTAAAATACCAATTTAATTAAAGTATTTTATATAGCAAACTTTTAGAAATTCATGACACCAATTTAATTAAATTTTTTATTTAAACTTAATTACAATTATTAATTAAAGCATTAATTAATGATTATTAATTGAAGGGTTTTATGAGAAAAAGTTTAAGTATAAATGGTAATTTTTCAGATTAATAAACAAAATATTTTTTGATGATGGTAAATAGGAGTTTTCAAATTGAAATAACAATAAAAAAAATTCAACTAATTTTGTAAACAAAATCGACACCACTAAAGATAATGAAAAACTTCCAATTAAATTAATAAAAAACCTAAAAATTTAATAATTTAATTTGATCTCACAAAAATCATCCAGTCAATTTCAATTTTTAAATTATTTATTAAAAAATAAATTTTAAATTAAAAACTATTATAATCAAATGATTTTTATAAAATACATTTAAAAAATGAATAAATTATAATATTTAACAGTTTTAATAAATTAACAAATGAAAAACTAACGTAAATAAATAATAAATAATATATATATATATTTAAATTTTTTACTTGAATTTAAAATATTTTAGCGCTGATGAAAAATTTGATGGAACCTACCAAACCAACGTGGTAGTTAAGCATAATGGTACTTGCCATTGGGTTCCACCTGGTATTTTTAAAAGTACATGTAAAATTGATATCACATGGTTCCCTTTTGATGACCAAAATTGCGTGATGAAATTCGGAAGTTGGACGTACAACGGATTTCAAGTATCTATTTAACATTTATTTACATTCATAGTTTTATGAAATAGTTAATAACATAGACTATATGAAAGAAAATTTGAAATTGTAACACTAGTCGTGTAAAGATGGTAAGTCGCGGTGTTGTCCATTAGTTGGTTTTAAGCAATAGTGTTAAGCCGCGTTAGTTATTATTGCTGCTCGGTTTGATGATTCCTTGGAAGTTTTAACAGTAGTGAAAACGCCATTACGGTGTAGATATAGAAAGCAGCAAGAGACTACAAACTTAACTCTTTCCCTCGTACAAGCTAATTCAACTGAAGTGGGTAACGTTAACCAACCTTCTGATTATAAAAACCAATTACTAGGCTGCAATTACACTTCAGCTGTAAGTGTAAAGTGATAAAATTTAACTTAAAATTTCTTTTAACTTTTAAATTTAAATTAATAAATTGAGGATTTCAGACCTTCAAACTTCAACCGCCTTACACCCAGGGCTTTAATCAATTTTTGTTTTTTTTGTCATTACTTTATGTTGATAACCAAATAATAACAATATTATTGCATTTTAAATAATTAAAAGGTTATATTTCAGTTTTGCGGTATTTAAATAATATCAACCTTTTATGTTTTACGTTTTTCAACATTCAAAAGTTACTGATTTATTATTTTTTTATATTTTTGCGATAGATTTTCATTTTATTATGAATTAACCTGTTATTTGTCGCATCTGAAAATTTTCCTCCCATAGTTTTCATGTTGAGAAACACTTGACTACTTGTACTTACATTTTTCACAAATTTATTGTACCTTATAATTTATAACTAATTATCAATACGTTTTCTGTTTATTTCCGTTCGATTTCGTTTTTAGTTATATATTTAAAGTTAAAAGTGTTTTTAAAATATTAATTAAAAACTATAATGTATTTAAAATAATAAACTCGAAAACCCACCAAAAAATACTAAAAAATCGTGGATAAATATTTCGGGTACAATGTTATCATTATCAACGCTTAACACCGCTAGGGATGTTATCATTAAGTAATATTATCACATTTGCCAGTTTACACAAATTCAATAATGAATTTTTCGATTGACCAAGATTCCAGTTAATTAAATTATTTATATTGCCTCCCTTATATTATGTTCTTAGTACTTCTTTAAGTTTTCATTTAGTTTTATATTTTTAATGGATTGATTATGTGTCAATAAATGTTCAGGCTCAGAAAATTTACCAACCCCTAATATTTAATGTTTCCTAAGTTTGACTTAAATATTTTTAAGCATTTTAATAGACTTTTACCAACAATAACTATTTAAATAAATATTTAGCTATTTATAATATATTTAGATACCTCAATTAATAATATATTATTACCGTAAGGTATTTTTCGAGAATAATATCAGAAATATTTTAAGAATAATCTCTAGAAACGAGAACATTCTATTAACTTATTATTATTATATTATACATTATCATGAAATGGTACTGAATTTGCAAACACGTAAAAAATTGATCACTTTCAAATTTATCTATTTAGCAACAGATAATTCGATTAAACGAATTTAGAAATATAGTCTATTTCAAATAAAAGTTAATTAATTATCCTATTATGTTTTCGAATTTACAAACGCTTAAAAATTATATTTAGAAGTGGCAAAATTTTTTTTTTATTAAATTGGAACCAATTTACGGTAATTATACAGAATTTATTTTGACAGGGAATTTTTCACTTGCATTTACGCTAAAGATTTTTTTTGGGGAGGCTTATTATTTTTAGTCTTTAAACAATAAATAAAACATCAAAAAGACGAAAAAATGCGAAATCATTAATAAATCAAGGAAGAAATATAAAAGTATTAAGAAGCAAGCACAGATATATAATAAAACGAAATTATGGAAAGAGTGTTCAGTAAGTAAGGAAACAGGTCAATTGTTACAAGCAATGAGAACAATAAAAGCCCGTTTTCTAACTTACTGAACATTCTGTATATTTAGAAGTAAGTTAAATACAAAAAAAAAAAAGATGAGGTGATATATAAATATAAAAAAATTTAAAAAGCCATAGAAATATTTCTTAATTCAAATGTATTTTAAAAAGTGTTTATTTTTTGTAAATTAGGTAGATTTAGTGCTCAAGTCAGACAGTGGAGATACTACAGATTTCATATCAAACGGTGAATGGGATTTATTGGGTAAGTCAATTAAATAAAATATCAGATTTTGAGAGGAACATTACTAAATACTAAATATAATATTGTTATTAGAACAAAATATTTTATATAAATATATACATTGCTTTTCATAAATTGAAAATAACTTAAAAATCTAGTACAATGTTTTATATAAGATGAATAAACATGCGCTGTACATACTAAATGAAGCTAAAAACATCGCAAACTATCCTATCTATTCATATAATTTAAGTTAATAACATGAATTTGTAAATTTTATTTTATGAAATATTATATTGAAAATCATGAAATTATAATGGGTTTATTATAAAATAAATTGATAAAAGTAAATTAAAACTACAATAAATTAATTAAATAAGTTAAATTACATCGTAAGATTGCATTATTATATTTTTAAAAATATATAAAAATGTATAAAAAATAGTAATAATAGATCAACTTTCCATAGTACTCTACATAAAAATAATAAATAAATGCATTTTTATTTATATAAGTAAAAAGATAACAAACAATTTTCAATTTTTTGTTATTCATTTTAATGATTCCAAGGCACTAGAAAAATATTTTGTATTATACAGAAGCATAATTACAGGGAACAGGCATAATTTTGAGGATATACTCCCCCATGAACCCACAAACATTTTTGTATAATTACATTATACTGAGAGATGACTGGGGGAATTCCCGGCCAACTAAGCGATATTTGATGAAATTCAAATGTTTTTCATCTTAATATTTGAAATAACTTGGAAATGTAGTATTAACAAAGAGGTTACACTATATCAAAGTTTTCAAGTTCTTCAATACAATAATAAATTTAAAAAACAATTGAATTTATCCGACATTACACTGACTTTATTGGGTTAATACACTGAACATATTAAAACTCCATTGAAATGTATAAGAAATTCAAATTTAATATGATACAACTACATAAATAAAAAAAATAAATATTGTAAATGAACATAATTATTTATTTATCATATTAACTAAATTAATTGAATGATAATTTTACTAAAATTAACTTAATATTGAGAACTGAGGTAATGCCGTAAACTTAATGGTTTTTGACATAACTCAAAAGTTTTTTGTTTAAATACTTGGGAATCCTTGCAAATAGAGAATTAATACGTTGATTGCATTAAGTCAAGATTAAAAGTAAAACTAATTAAAATTTATTTAGTAAGATAAATTTAAAATAATAATGAATTATGACCGCTATTACAACTTAATATTGTTTTGTATTGCCCCTTTAGCATACCCCTGACAATAATCAATTTATTCCATTAAGTAAAACCACTATCATTATTTTTAAAACAATAGTTGATCCTTTTTATAATTTAAAACTAACTATACACGTGTAGGAGAAAAATATCATATATATCAAATATCAATACCTTATCTAAAAATTAAGTTGAAAACCGCAACATTTTAAAATGACTATTGAAAAAAAATGAAAACTGTTTTGGTGATAAAAATTTTTATATTACCATCAGTCATTATATTTTAAGTAATGATAATCTTAATATGCAATTAGTGTCTTACCCAGTATTTTATTTTAGAAGAAATTCGGTTAACCAGCATTACCTTTGCCCGGCATTCGCCCTGTCTCCCCCATATATGGCTATAATTGAGAGTAATTCGGGCAGAGAAAAACAATTTTGTTTAGGTNCTCCCCCATATATGGCTATAATTGAGAGTAATTCGGGGAGAGAAAAACAATTTTGTTTAGATACTCTCAGGATGAAACAGTGGTTACGTGTTTGGAGGGGTTAGCTCTTTAAATATTCCCATACTGATAATTTTAGTTTTTAACTGCTACTTAAATAGTGAAGATCATAAATAGAATATTTTATAAGTAAATATTTTCAGAATTTAACCATTTGATATTTTTTAGAATTACAATACATCATTTTGACATTCACTGACTTAATTTTACAAAAAAATTTCACATAAATTTGTATAATTTATAACTTAAAAGGCCCTCGATTTTACATTCATTAATAGTACGCAAAGGTGCATATAAACAGACAGATGGCGATTTAAGATAACATTGTTAAAACAACTGTACCCGGATATTTTAGTGCTATTCTATATTTTACGCCACACAACGATAAAATAAAAACAAAAATATTGATGGGTGTGTAATTTAGATTTATCGGAGATGACAATTTAGATAATTGTAGAATATTTAACTGGATAAGTCCTAACACGTCATTTATACTCTTTAATTGTAAAATTTATGAATACATTTCTNATTGATGGGTGTGTAATTTAGATTTATCGGAGATGACAATTTAGATAATTGTAGAATATTTAACTGGATAAGTCCTAACACGGTCATTTATACTCTTTAATTGTAAAATTTATGAATACATTTCTTTTATTCTTTGTTTTTAATTAGAAATATTAATGTTATAACTTATTTCAATATAGGTTTACCGGGGAAAAGGAATGGTATTGTATATGCATGTTGTCCAGAACCTTATGTTGACATTACGTTCACTATGAAAATAAGGCGGCGGACGTTGTACTATTTTTTCAATTTAATAGTCCCTTGCGTGCTCATTTCTTCCATGGCCCTTTTGGGTTTTACATTACCTCCCGATTGTGGTGAAAAACTCACTCTGGGTAAGAATAAATTAAGCAGTATAAGTAACATGATCATTAATTTGCCAGGATAAAATAATAATAATAAAAAATACATTTAAAAAAAGCAAGTTACACTAGTATAGATAAAAAAATCTTATTATTTTATCTTATATGTTAACATGATGAGAAAAAATGTTTTTTAACTATGAGTCACAAGAGATCAGTGCTGACCAAGTGTGCAAGGTATGCTAAACATAAGGGTAACTTTTAAGTATCAAAAAACTCTAAAATGAGTTTATTTTTAGTCCATTAAAAAAGTAAATAATTAAAAAAATAAAATTGTATTATTATGCTACGTTTTATTTTGAAATGTTCCATTTAAAATATCTGATTAATACTATTTTATGCATAAAATAAAATCTTAAATATATTAGACTGGTTTTGAGGTAAATATTTTCATAGAATTCCAGTCTCTAAACTTATTTCTGCATTGAATACGACTTTTCAATAATATTCTTTAATTATAAGTATTGAGATGACTTTTAGAAATTGTATTTTTAAAAAAATGATAAATTAAACGGTGTAAAGTTTTTAGGAAATAATATGCATATCAAATTTTTACTGAATACATCTAAAATATAATTTAGAGCCATTTTCGTTGTCATGATATGAGTTTTTTTACTCGAGGTATGATACAGTTTTAAAATCTAAAATCGAATTACATATTTTAACTCATTTTTTGGTTAACTTAAAAACAGTTAATTTTAACCGTTATAAATTTTCTATTTTAATTAGTATACTTACTAAAGCTATGTGTCAAATATTAATTTGAAGTTGCCGTATAAAAATAATAGATTAACCAAATGTTCTATTAGAAATAATTAAGTGTATATTTCAGAAATTACAATATTACTGTCTCTAACAGTATTTTTGAACATTGTTGCTGAATCAATGCCTACTACGTCCGAAGCGGTTCCCCTAATAGGTAGGATTAAGTAAATAGCATACAAAAAATTTGCATGATGACAGATGTCGTTGTCATTTGGTACTTGGAGGAACCACTTCGTTGGACATGTGATGTTATCTACATTCAAAAAATAATTTAAAATAATTATTTTTTTACTAAATATATGGGGCTTGGTGTGGCTCAGTTGACCGCCTTAAGCGCTGTATACTTTTGGTTCCCGAATGGGTGACGAGTATACAGGAACTTTTGCAGTCACACACCTTGTTCTTATACACTAGCTCCTTCAGCCAAAATAAAGTTGGGTCAGGTCGTCAGCCGGTGTAAAAGTCTATCAAATCGCAAGGTAGAGCCGACCCCAAATAGTTGGGATACAGGCTAAGGAAATAATTATTTTGGTGTTAATCTCAAAAAAAAAACACATTTATAGGATTTATACATACTTTAGTTTTGAACTTAAATTTAAATGTTTGTCAGATGATGTTCTCGAAATTACTTTAAGAATACAAAGAATAATTGGTTGTTACAGGAGTGACCATCTTGCTATCACTGACAGTGTTCCTGAATTTGGTGGCGGAGACACTTCCACAAGTCTCTGACGCAATACCCTTGCTAGGTACCTTAAACCCCTTTTCCTCCAACATATTAATTTCTTGTTTCAAATCGGATGTTTCACAAATGATTTTTATCTTTCTGTTTAGTTATTTATAGAAAATTTTATATTACATTTTTATCATTTCAATGATCATACAGAAATCGTACCAAAGAAAAAATAAAATTTATATTTTTAACCAAGAAAAAAACTTGTATTTTTAATATACGATTTAAAATCACACAGAAAACTATATTTTATATTTTAATAATCATATGATAGTTAAAAAAAAAAATTAAGGAGAGAAATAAGAACACGTAACACAGTATATGGTACTATGATATGAGTTCTTATGAGTAAAAGAATTTATATACAATTTGTAAACTTAAGAATTTTATTATATTTTGTTTCAATCATATCGACAAACCTCAATTTATAATTATAAGTAACTATATCGACTTAAAAAGCTTTACACAAGTATTAATAAAATAATACCAAAAGATAAGAAGTAAATTCATATATTTTAAAGCAGGGTATGATTTTTAATACAAATCTAAAATTTTATAACATTTGAGGAACATAATAAGTTATATAATGTAATTTAATATTTTATACTTAAATTATAAATAGATAAAAAGTCATGGTAACACTTTATTTTTTCTATTTTTACTAACAATGAACATTTATCCTTTTTTCCTTAGTACGGTTTCTGTTTAAAACGATAGTATACTAAAGACTTAGCCGTACTATATAGTTATATAAAAACTACAATGAATAATTCAATAATAAAAAGAAAATGTATGCTACGGCTTTGTCTTATAGTGTACCTACCATTATCCAGTTGGATCTTTCGCTCGAGTGCTTTTCTCACTTCACTTTTCTCTCTTACTTTGTATTTTTTTAGAACTTTTATACATATTTATCATTTGTATTTTGTTCTTAAAACAATAATATTTGTGTGTCTTTTGCATATTGATATCAATGTGAATTTGCAGTATTTTATTGTATTTGTTTGCCACCTTCAACTCCATTACAAAAACTTAACACATCATTATAAAGCCAATACCTTATCAGCTTCATGCCAATATTAAAACTAAATAAGCATTAAATATATTAGTTGTTAATAAGTAATCATTATATAATACAGCCTCAATATAGAATGTAGACGTACATAATATGATTTGGACATAAGAGTAAATTTTTTATGATTAACTTTAAGATCAAACATTTAAAAGTGCTCACTTGTATAAACACAATGAAGATAATGCGCATTGTAATAATAACTGGAATCGAAGAATCAAAGAGTATTCTCATCACCATTATTAATTATTTAATTTAGGACTCCAAAAATGTATTTGTGTTGCAGGTGTAGCAATACTGCTCTCACAAGTAATTTACCTATTGCGGGTAGCAGAAGTGTTGCCAGAATCCTCTGATGCAGTGCCCTTGTTAGGTCAGAATATACCAAATCGGCAGAATTGCTTGTTCACCATTATTCTCATTATTCTTCACTTTACGTCTACATATTCTATTTATCTTGACTCTTGACCTATATTATTATAAAAATCAGAGTATCTTTCATTTCCCATTAGGGTGTGACAAGTATCTTTACCTCTTTTTTTTTAAATCCGTTAATTATACAAAAAGTACTAAAACCAATACATTATAATAAAAATCTTATTTGGCAAAATATTTAAACACTATTATTAGTCATGATAAAACTATATTATTTTTAAACTTTAATTTTCAATAAATAAAATTAATACCATTACAAAATAATATTTTTTTATCATTATTAAAATAATAGTGTATTAAGTTTATAGCGGTAATTAACACATTTCATATATACAGTTTGAAAGATTATATTCAATATGAAACTAAAGATATATATTTTTTTAACATAAAATAATTAGTATACATAATAGTTGGTCAATATAAGCAATATAAAAACTACTAAAATTAATAATTGTGGAATAATAATTAAGTCAATAAAAAATTTGAATTACATATTTGCTTAAAAGAAATCATAAGCAATATGTTCATTTATCAAACGTGACATTAAATAACTGTCACACCCTCGTTCATTTCATACAATCATATATATTTACTGCATTTTTAGTTAGCTTTTTCAAATATTTCAATCTACATATTCAATTTTTTCTTGTTCTTTAAAAAAAAAAACGTTTTTGTCTTATTTGCATGCCTCTCAACATATATTCATTGCACAAATGATGCACAAAGAATTTGATTTATTACAAATTGCAACAATATTAATACAATACAGGTAATCACAGATGTATAAAATCAATTTTAATTAAATAAAATAATAATTTTTTTCCAGAAAACTAATGTCTATTTAATTTATTCAAGAAATATTTAATGGCAAACGTTTTATACAGATTACAACAGTTATAGTACAAATAAAAATTATTTAATTAATATTTTTTCCAAAGAAAATTCAAATAATTATCTCCAACGAAACGAATCGTAATAATACATTTTTCATCTTCCTAATTATTGCATTTTCAGATAAAACACTATATTCAATATTCTCGCAAACAATAGTATGTTTTTTCAAAAATTTGCTTAAACACTATGAAAAAAAAATAGTTAAACAGAAAAAATACGCCTTTCAAAACGTTAGGTGGCTCTATTGTAAAAATTATATTTATAACTCTTTTCGTTGGCGAAATTATTTATTCAAAATTACAAATAAATTTAAATCAAGATTTAAAACTAGGGTTTTACAACTAGTCCAGTTATAATTTTTAGAGAACTAAACCCCTTCTAAATTACATTTTAGACCTTTAAAGTTAAATAATTTTCGTAATTTTCATTGCATGACTTTAGTGGCATAATTTAAAACATTTACGTTGAAATTATATTTATATTAAAAATATTTAATGCAAAAAGCCACAAAAAAAAACTATTAAAAAATCGCAGATACCTATTTTGGTAACAATGTTAATAAATCTATAGTCATATACTTTATTTTTTATTTTAAAAGTTAATTTGTAATAATAAATTTGTTATATAATTTTGAAATTCAAGGTACCTTAAATTTTTTGATAATCAGACGACCTACCCTAGTTTATAATTATTTTGATTTATTAAAAATAAATGTAGATAAATATAAATTATCTTTATTAAAAGTTCACTGTAAAAATAATAAATAATGAAGACGTCGAATAATACATTGTTTTTTACTAAAAGAGTATAATATGGTTAGTACAATCCAGTAAAATTATAAATTTTGTCTAAAATTTCTGTAAAATACATTTTATTTTTTTTACAATAGTTACTTAAACGAATAAATGTATATACATATATTTATGTACAAGGTGCTAAAAAAAATTTTATGGTTAAATTATGAAAATTTAAACTTTTAAATTAATTAAAGTCGTACATTGCTGAGTGTTCAGTGTTTAGCATATAAAAAACCAATTATGATTTCTGTATAATGAAGATCAATTTTTTTTTTTAAATATGGCAGAGAAGAGTGATTAACAAGTTTATTTATAGGTATTAGCTACAAAAAATTCTATTCTACAAAATAAAAATTGTAATCCACGATTACTTCCCTAATTTATGTCACCACATATAAATGTGAATATATAATATATTATTCAATTCAGCTTGCTTGATATTTCTTAAACCGAATTTTCTAGTACTATGTATTTACATATTTTGTACACGCGTTTTCTTCGACCTACGCATTTCAATAAATATTATGAATGTTGAATTTTTTTTTTTTAGAAATTCACTCGACTCCTCTAGACTTGTGGAAACTCGTTAAATACTACGTGACTAAAGTTGTTGGTAGCGTTTTATTGTGGAATCTGGCACACGTGTCACGAAATTTTCTCCCTCTTAAAAACCTCTTTGGATTTCCAAAAAATACAAATCAAAATGCATAAATTAACTACGATACACAAAATTTGTACACATTGTTAATAACCCCTCCGTCAAAGTGAATCTATTTTTATCAGTATTTCTATTTTATTTCAACAAATACATGGACAATCAAGAATCGTTTTATTTACCAACAATATAGTTATTCTATACGTCTACGTATCTATATTTGTGGGTTTTGTATTACATTATCATTGTTATTAATTTTAAAAAAATGTTTTAAATTAATTATATTATTAACATTATAACACTAATCAGTGTTTAAACGTAACATAACTAAAAAATAAAATAAGTTTCTTTTGAAACTTTAAATAAGAATTTGTTAAAATTGGTACTTAAGTACTCCAAGTATCAACTGATCTGACTGCGTATAATAAATAATTAAGTATTAAACAAAAAAATAATAATAATACTATATATATAAATGTATGTATATTGTTTTTTTTACTATATAAATATATTGGTTTTGACATCTTTAATCATTTTTAATCAATTGAATATATATAAATATTTTAAATAATTATATATTATTTTAATAATTTTTAGTTTTGGACTACGTTAAAGTATTTTTTAAATTATTTGTCACTAATAAAACATTTTTTAATTTTTTAAAATTTAAAAATAGTCATTTTTGAGCTTTTTATCTTACAAAAAATATTGATTGGTCGATACAACTTGAATAAGAACTTATTTTATTATTAAATTTAAATACTTAAAGTGGGTGTACAGCTCGGGTAGGTACAGTTTGTATTGGTATACTCCGCCCGCGTTTTAAATAAAATAGTAACACAAAATATTGAATCAAAAGTTATTAAAGATGTTAAAACCTGGTGGGTCACTCTGTATGCGCATATATTAGTTAAAAATAGGTAATAATTTTTATTTTTATTTATATCAATATTTAGTGAATTATTATTTTTATTTTTTTGGAAATTATATAAATTTTCATTTAATAAATTAGAAATGTAGACGTTCAATTAATGAATACTAGATTTAAATTCCGAAAAAATTTTATTTCATTCTATATTAACATTATTTAAAATAAAGATGTTTATTAGAAAAGGTATATATTTTTAATGTTTTTTAACATCAAAACCAATGACAAGATTGTATATAACGATTTTTATTGTCGTTCCTTTTTTTATTTCCAAAATACATTGGATTAGTTTTTAAAAAAATTCAATGCAATTATGTAAATATAATCTATGTCATTTAAAAATAGAATAATAAAAAAGTAAACTTTTTTAATAATTGTATAAAACTGAGTTTATTTAAGGTAAAATATAATTTATCATAGTTCAATTAAATTTTTTTAATTAGACTTATTTTATTATACATTTTTGAAAATTAAATTACGCTCTATATAATAGATAAATTTCTTAATTATATTATTATTAGTCATAATATTAAAATATGATATTTATTTCTATTATTAATAAATAAAATCCAACTAACCCACTTTTTGTAGATGTTTATTTGCGCACATGTATAATTAATTCATTGCATGCTTATACGTTTACGTTTATTAGTGATTCGTTTATAAACATAAAATCTGTCATGCTTTACATAATTTTTTAGAAATAAAATATCATTCAATCATAGTAACATAGCAAAGGATATTTTTGAAATCCCATCTATTGTTAAATATATTTCATGTTTTCTAATTTATTGTGTGACAGGTACTTACTTCAATTGCATAATGTTTATGGTGGCGTCTTCGGTTGTGCTTACATTAGTAGTTCTCAACTATCATCACAGGACTGCTGACATACATACTATGGGTCCATGGGTACATTGATCTTTTTTTATATTTTATTATAGTAGTTAATTCTTAAATTTTAACAAGCATTTTATACATGTAGGATAAAGAAAAATGTATTTGTAATATAGATAAATTCTAGATTTCTTTAAGTTTATGACGAAGATACTGATAATCGCAAAACAATGCCAAATATTATTAGTGGTAGCATAGATAAGATATAAGTTATAATTTATAAATTATCTCCTATCTGTGGTACTAATTTCAAAATTTGACGCTGTTTTGCGGTTTAGGTACCTCCATTAAAAATGTTTGAAAAAATAACGAGAATTTACTTATATCACCAAACCTTTTTTTACCCTACGTATATCTATACAAATATTATGTGCAATTTGTTTGACGTGAAACACACATTATTTATCTAAACACTTTATTTTGTATACTAGACAAAATGTTTATTCCTATTATGGCTGCCTTGGATTTTGGGTATGCAAAGGCCAGGTAGAGACATATCTTTTAAGGCAATCAAAAGTAGATTTACAGACCGCAAAGGTATGGAACTTCGAGAACGTTCTTCCAGGAGTTTATTAGCTAATGTTCTTGATATAGGTAATAATTATTTTTCAAAAATATTTATTTAATAAAAATTAAGAAATTAAAATTAAATTCATATTATAGACAGTGTATAAAAGGGAATAAAGTAAATTTTGAAATAAATTTCTACTAAAATGTTGAGTAGAAAAAAATATAAAATTTCTTTTTAGAAAAAATTTAAAAAAATGTAGATTTAAATTTGTTCTCTTTTTACCCACACTATTACTAAAACTTTCATTTTTCATGGGAACTGACTTGCTACTAAGATTATTCATTACCTCGTAACATTGATTTCAGACGATGATTTTCGTGCAAGTGTATTGTCTCATCGAACTTTTAATTGTGGGGCAAGTACGTCATCACCAGCATCCGAAGCTAGAAGCATTTGCAATTACTCTGCTAGAGAACTTCAACTGATACTACATGAAGTTCGATATATTACGGATTACATGAAAAAACAACAGGACGACCAGGAAGTCATCAATGACTGGAAATATGCAGCAATGGTGGTAGACAGATTTTGTCTTTTAGTGTTCACGTTCTTCACTATTGTTGCTACTGTAGCTGTCCTTTATTCGGCGCCACATATAATCGTCGATTGACTGAGACATTGTGTTCACTTTTTGGTTGTCGACAATATCGGTTCATTATTGTTAAATTTTTCTTTTAAGCGATATAAAATTATTTGATTTAAATTATTTAAGTTATTTTTTTGAAATATTTTAAATACGCCATAATAAAAACGCATAAGAGCTTAACAAATGCAAAATGTATTTTTAAATAAAATGCGTTTACAGGGTGTTACAAAAAAGAACCAGAAACCAAAAAGTTTCTAGGCCAAAAAAAAATATGGTTAGTGTTTTTATACATATAATTTTTAAGTATAACTAGTAATAGATTGAAAGTATGAATATTACAGTAAAATTTTTCAAAATAAATTTAGTATAAATAGTTTTTAATGATAATGATAATTTGCATAAATTTGGTTTATTTTCATTAAAATTCTTCTTATATAAAGTAACATTAAAGAATGATCATTCACAAATATTATCGAAAACTCTATTTGTTTAAATTAAACCGAAATGAATAATTTGAACTCAAATTCTATGTAAAAATCTTGCTAGTTCACACCAATGATCTGGCATATCGATGGCATGAAACAAAAATCTTTTAATACACTTAAATTTATTCATCAGTAAGTTCATTTCGAAATTTATATCGTAATAAGATCTAACTTTTAATCAAATTTCAAAATATGGATGACGTTTAAGAATTATAATATCTGATAAATATTTATAAAAAAACATTAACTTTAATTAATTATTTCATACCCTGATTCATTTTTGAAAAAAATTTCATCTACTTCATTATTGTGCTACACTTTCGATATTATGTTAGAAAAGTAGTTCACAAATTTACTTAGATTCGTCATATTACTAATATTCATTTAGTGCATATAAATTGTTAATATGAAATGTGATATGGTTATAAAAATCTAATTAACTAACAATAGGTACAATTTCAAACATGTTCTTTTTCCTTTAGTAAAATATATACTCAGTTACCTACTTTACTCTTAGTTACCTATATGTTTGAATTATTACCATTTTTATTACTATAATTATTTTTCAATAAAAATTATTTATATAAAATAATTTTTTATAATTTGCAGATGGACATAAATAACCCTCTATCCATTATTTAAAAAAATATATTAATTGCTATTATATGTAAATGAAACTACTATTTTAATTTATTATAAAAAAATATTGACATAAAAATTTTATATACATTAAATAACTTCCCATTTGGTTCAATTACAATAGTTTTACAACCATATAGCTAGATTGAACAATATATAACCCTTCTGTAATTTAAAATATTATTAACAGCATTCAATTTAAATAAAGGTATCTTTTGATTTGGAATCTAAAATTTGAATAATATTGATTTTTTAATAGTAGTTTCATTAGGCTAAAAATTTTCTAGAATTAAATTTAAAATTCAATAATGATAAGCTATTAACATTTAAATAGATTATTTTTATATACTGTGATAAAAAAATATATAATTGTCAAAAAATGTGTATATAATATTTCCTTTAAATTTTTGTTATTATTATTATTATTGTTATTATTTTGGCCTTTTATTAGTATAAATTATGTTGAATAATGTAGTATAATAAATATTTTAAATAAATTAACATAAATTCACTCAAATAGTATAAAAATTTCCTTAAAATTAATTTAAAATTATATCATAAATGACATAAAATAGTCTATACAACTATTTTAAGATTAAAAATTAGTTTTAAATGTTATTTAATTTTAAAATGTACACATGTTTAGATACAAAATAAAAAACATTTATGATTTAATAATGAACAGAACTACCTATATATAAATAGAACTATTATTATTTTTTAAATCTGGAAACTAAAAAATTAATATTACAACATGGTCATTAAGTGTATAACGCCTTTTAATATTTTAATTTCAGTATATTAATTAATTTTAGATAGAATATTTAAGAGATATATTAAAATTAAAATGTTCAGAAAAAGTAAACTTAATGTTAATTTTTCTTTTGGAAAATTTGGATAATTTTCGTAGTCAAATAAACAGATGTATTATTAAATATTTTTTGCTAAGTAACGTTTATTTTAGATTGCAAAACTACTATTATCTTTAAACGTTTTATTGTTTTGAACCATATTTTGAAAAAAAATTATAATTTATCTATTTGTTAAAAAAAAAAAATTAAACAAATTATATGTTCAATCAATATGTCAATTAAATAAATACATATTTAAATTTCTTCATTATATTATAGTTTAAAAATATGATAAAATGTATGTTTTTGATTTTGTTTCATCATTGATGTTAGTTTTAGCTTCTGTGAAAAAATTTTTGTTTGATTATTCCGGTATGATTTAGTTAATTTTAAAAAATTAGTAATGATGTTTCGAATATGAATTGAAATTTTATTTTATCCATCGAACTCGTATCGAACAAAACATTTCTAACATTTTATTGAATAGAAAATTAGTTGACATCATATACAACATTTTTTACGCGATATTCGATTATAGCAGTTACCTTTCAAACCGATTTACATGGAAAAACTTTTATAACAAACAACTGAAAAATTATACAAACTTCTATAAGATACTATAAGATAGGGTGTGAACTTTGTCGGCTCAATTTAATCAATGCAAAATTATAATCCACCCCAGTAAAATTTACTACATGTTCGCTATATCTATAAACTAATTCACTTACTTATTCCAAATGGTTAAGAATTATTTTTTAATAACAGAAAATTTTCATGTATTTATAATTGTAACACCAACTTAAAAATAATTAAAAATTAATATTTTACAATAAAACTTAACATACTTTACATTTATATAAAAGTAATTTTTTTATTGAATATTATTTATTTTTTTCCATTATTTTAAAAAAAATTAATAACATTTAATTTAAGGCGCAAATTTTGGGAAACGATTTGATTTTTATATTTTTTTAATAAATTAGAGTTGAGTCTTATAAAGATCATTAAAATTTTAATTGTGATTGTATAGATATCAAAATAGAAACAATAAAAAATATTTATGTACACATTAATTAGTTTAACGAACAAAATTGTCATTTGCTATCATGATTATAGTTATCTCAACTATAATATATTTTGAGTATCTCACTCAAAATAGCTATATTTTAAGTGCTATTAATAAGTAAATATTTAGAAATTATTTAGCATTCTGCATAACATTATGCTAGTCAAATGATTTCCCAAGTAATCCATACTAGGAGTTACAGTTAACAAATGAGCTATCCCTGACTAACTGAGGTGCTAACGGGACTATCCTTTTAGTAATTTCCATAGGATATATACAGCTTAAATAATACAGGATGTCCAAAAAGGACTGACTGTGTTATGTGGGAAAATACAAACCCGCATTATATGACACATAATTATCTAAAGTTTTGTTTTCTGACAATGAGCACTTTACTTTTAAATTATTTAAAAATATGAAACGATAAATCAAGCTTTAACCATAAAACAAAGTTTTTTGAAAATTTAACATCAAACTGACACAAATAAAGTTCCTATATGCACCTATATATTTATATAAGTATAAATAGAACAGACATTATTATTTTTGACTCCTTAAAACCGTTTTTAAATTGACTAAATAAATACAATAATAATGAATTTTAATTTTTTAGTTGGGATAAAATTTCAAATATTGAATGTTTTATTATTATTAAAGTATAAGTTAAGTTGCCTGTAATACTTTCATAGGCGTAATTTCAAATTTTTCCTTGGAGGGACTACAAATATTTACATTAAACAGATTCATGGGAGTTCTGCCTCTCCATATTAGTTTCAAAGTTTATATATTAACACAAGACCTAATGTACTTATCATACCAAGTCTTGTCTTCCAACAATTTATTTTTATTAGTATAATAAATTACAAAACACTTGATAAAATGATAAAATATGCTATTATAATATTTATTACACAATGTATATTGTATATTAATACAATGTATACTAAGATATTTTAATACTACTTTATGATTTCTAAAATAATCGTTTAATAGTCGTTAAAAATGTTGAGTGCATTAAACATTTTTAGAAAGTCCCTCCAAGCTGCTCCCCCAATTGCACTCAATAATTATTTTCCTCAATAATGAAATAATTAACTATACTGTAGCTAACAATAAGAATTAAAAATGATTTTTAGCAGTGATTTAGTTATATACTAAGTAATATAGATAAACAAAAGACTATCAAAAAGGTCCTGAATAACTCAGTAACTAAAAATTAGTTGTAGTGGATAATTTTTAGTAAAATTTCTTGATTCCCCTAAATATTTTTTCTGCTCGTTAAAATTTGTTGCTCATAAATTACAACTCAACTACTTCATATTAGTTGTTTCATAAATTAAACATAACTAAAACTGTGTACAAAAATTCATTAAACGTGTAAATCGTTAAACAAATGTTTTGTATGTTAAATTATGTATTAAAAAACTATTGTGTATAAATTAAACTAATTTAAATAAAATAATTGTAACATAGTTACTATACAAGGAAAGCTATTCCTTGTAAATGTTTTTTATCCATATTGAATATGTATTATAAAGATTGTAATTTGAAAGTATATAATATTACTAAGTTATGTGACGACAAATTTATAAATATAATACAATGTGTAGAAACTTGACTTGTTCATATTTTTTAGTATATTCACCTTAATCTTCCAGATGTTTAATATAATTAAAAATTATATACTTAGAATACCCCAAGGATTTTGAATAGATAATTTCCTAAATTTTTGTATAATTTGGTAACCCGTTAACTATTTTTGCAATAAGAAGTTTGAACACTTGAACTCTCCAATACTTACGCCTGCGTCATTATTTTTTATTTCAACTTTAAATATTATGAGGACGTCCAAGTACTTTTTTTCGGTGCATCAAAACATGTCCTGAATGATCACAGATTCTGGACGATTAAGTGGTCGTAGATATACGATCATATGTCAAAATAAAACATGACAAAATTATTTACATCCATACATGGGCAATT